GGGCGGGTGTGAGGGTTGTACAGAGTGATGATTTTGTAAAGGACCGCACGGCTATATAGGTCTTCAAGGGCCCCGTACGTAATGCCCCGTACGGCACCGCCACTCACTTTGCATCTACACCCTGATTGAGCAGCAAATCCTCCAGCTGTGTTAAGTTCCGTACAACCGCCGCTCCCGCCGCCGCCGTGTCAGGATCCGCGGCCAGCCGCCGTGCCGGCGGCGGCATAGGGCCCACTCGCAGTCCCACCGCGTCCCACAGTTGCGCAATGCCGCTGAACAGGCCCCGGCGCGGAGGACGTACGACACCGCCGACGGTGGCGGCGGCGGTGTCGCTGCAGCCGGCAGCCCGAAGCTGGCGCCTGTCGCCAATACCGTCGTAGGTGGCGGCAGCGGCCTGGGTGTCGTACATGGTCTCGGCGCAGTCTGGCCCTGGGCTGGTCTCCTGGAGGAAACGCAGTAGGCCCGACGGCCGATGCGGTGCGCCTGTACGACATGGCAGAGGAATCCCGGCCGACCTGCTAGCATCGCCGCTGCCGACAGCGGTTGCGGTTGCGGTTGCGGCGGCGGCGGCGGCAACGCCACGTCGAGCCTGTTGCCACGGCAGCGGCCGCGCCGTCACCATCGGCAGCGCGGCGGCTCCGTGGCGAGACAGCTCGTTTTCCCTGGCTTGTACGGCAACAGGTACGGCATCATGTCGTGTGGTGGCGGCAAGCCCAGTCTCTGCCTGATTGGCAGCCGCCACGGAGCCTGAGTCCTTGGGGGTAGGGGGAAAGGGCGGTGGCGGCGCCGCTACGGCGTCATCATGCAGGGAAGTTGCCGCCGCCACCGCCACCGCCGTCAGCGCCGTTGTGGCATTGGTGGTCGAAGCGGCGTCAGCAATATCTGCACCGCCACATTGTACGGATACCGCAAGTAACGGCGGTGCACCACCACCATCACGCGACGGCAACGGCGTCGTCCGCATCCCCGATGGTCGTGGTGCCAATGTACGGCCGCTGAATGTGTCGTACCGCTGTGGCGATGACTGTGAGATTGCAGTACACGGACTCTCGCAGGAACCTGAGTTCCCATCATCGGCGGCAGCGGCGGCGGCGGCGGCTGCAGTCACGGCGGCAGCGGGGTCGCTTCTGCCTCCGCCTCCGGCACCGGCTTCGGCGGCGGCGGCAGCTGACTGCAAAAGCTTGGCTCTGAGGCTTGCCTGTCAGTTCCGGTGCAGTGGAGGATAAGGAGGCGGCGGGAAGGGTAAGGAGGACGCGTGAGTAGGCTGCTGACGGCGGCAGGGCTGCCGCCGCCGCCAGCAGCCTACTCACGCCTAGCGTACACGCAGCGCTCAAACCCCCGACCCACCAGCGTGCGTCACAGTGCGCATCCGGCCGCCGCAGTCAACCCCTCCAGGTCCCCACAACAACCCACAAGACCCCCATTATCCCACCTCCCAACTATGGTACCTTCAGCTCCTCCATTCGATGCTGCCTTGGCGTGATGACGGTCAACACCCGGCGGATGCCCCGGCCGCTTCCGCTTCCGCTTCCGCCGCCGCTGTAGCTGTAGCTGTAGCTGCTACCCCGAGTGCTGCCGCCGGCCGTTGCGCCGTCAGCGGCTGTGTCTTCTGTAGTCGCCGTCGCGGTCGCAATGGCCCCGGGCAAGGCGGCGGCCTGGCCGTCGCGGCGGCGGCTTGGACGGCCGCGACGCAAGTCCTTAACCTGCCGCCCCGCTGTTGCACATTCCTGCTCCGCAGCTGGCGTCGCTGCCGCCGAAGTCACGAGGACGGCACTTGCGGCCGCACCGCTGGAGTGATGTCGTACTCCCATGCTGTCCTTCGCTGCCGTACCTGCCGCAGGTGCCGCCTCCGCTGCCGGCTGTAGCTCAGTCTTCTGCACCTGCGCCGCCCCCCCCGCAGCTGCTGCAACATTCGTATCCTTCTTTCGCCGCCGACGCTGCGGTGCCGCCGCCATTGGCTTGGCCAGCACCTCTATCTCCGCCACCGCTGCCGCCGCCGCTGCCTTCCCTGAGCTGACGTCACCGCAAACCGCCGCTGCCTGCTGCTCGTCCAGCTCGACAACAGAACCCTCGTCAGCAGACCAAAAGGCACCGTCATCATCGCCGACGTTGCCATACTGTTCGTCCACGTCGTCGTATTCCTCGCCGTACGTTCTCCCCATCAGAAGGCGGCTGCTGTACCTCGTTAGGCCCCTGCGGGAACTGACGCCAGCGCCACCAGCGCTCATACTGCCGTACACCATGGGCTGCAAACGATCCTCATCCAGCTCATCCACGAGATCAAACGGGCGCAGCAGCGCTGGCGGCCCTACAGCCGCTGCCGGCGGCGGCGGCCCTGGCGGCAGTTGCGGCGCGGGCTGACCGTCGATACCAATCTCGGTCGCTGCAGACGTGGCCGTGGCCGCCGCTGCTTCACCGGCTGACGGCTCCGCCGCCTCCGGCGGTGCTGCACGCAGTAGCACCCCTCGCTGACGAAGCTGTAGCTCCTTCTTTCGGATCAGCCGATACACGTGGTTCATGTGGGGCCGCTCGCCCACCATGGAGCTCGCCAGCTGGTCACTGACTAAGGAGGACAGCGGAGCCGCCGCCGCCGCCGCCGCTGCTGCCAAGGCGGCGGCAGCGCCGCCTTCACCGTCTTTACCACCTCCGCCTTCGCTCTCTCCGTCCTTCGCAGAGATCTGCACGATGAGGTCGTGATGAGGGAGACGATCACTCACGGCGCGTCCTTGTCGATCCGGAAGCCAGTCCGGCGGCCTGGATCCGGATTCGAGCCAGGATTCGGATTTGGATCTCGATCCAGTGCTTCCCGCCATCGGATCCAACGCGGCTGCCAAGGTGGATGCCGGGTGCTTGAGCAGCTGCGTTCCAAAACCCCCAAAACCCAAATCGAAAAAGGGCGCCGAACGCCGCTGCCAGACGCTGTCGTTGCCGCCGCCGTCGCCGCCGGCATTTGCTGCGGCAAGTGCGGCATAGCCGCCCTGCGGTGGACGTGCGCTGTCAGCACCGGCGAAGCCGCTACCGGCAGCAAATCCTTGCGACGCCCTCTTGCTCTGCAGCTGCTTTTTCCGGATGAGCCTATGGGAATTCCATCGCCCAGACGGGGATAGTGTCACGAGAGGCATAACGTCCAAATATTATTATAACAGTAAAAAAACCGCCGTATACCTGATGACTCAGACGGAACGTGGTTGCAAGTCATTGCAAAAACCAGGATGAGAGCTGAGAGTTGAGAGGAGCCCAACGCAGCAGCAGCTCGCGAAGCCCCCCACAGCAGCGGCAAGATTGCTCTGGTTTTGCGCAGAGTTTCTTCCTCTCGGGCTTACACCTCTTCATAGCTGTCCCAGTCGTCGCCGCCGCCGCTGCCGCCCCCCCCACCTTTCATCCCCTTACTCCTCCGGATCTCGCTTTCCACATTTAGCCTACCTACCTACCTACCTACACCTACATACATTTACGCACATACAGACCTACATATATACAGCTATACATGGCGTTCTGTCAACTGACCCACCTGTAAACCGGGTTCATTACAGCTCTACCGCCGACGGCATCCGCCGGCCCAATCTCCCATGCCGCCTCATCACCGCCGCTACTGCTGCTACTGCCGCCGCCGCCGCCACTGCCGCCGAAGCCACCGGGGTCCCGTTCCTCTCCAGTACGACACGCGGGAGCTCCGGCACTGGCGGCATCCCCGGCTGCCGCCGCCGGCAGCACGACGCTGGCTGCGGCTTGCTGTCGTACAACCGGCGGTACCGCCTCCGCTGGCTCAGGTCCCAGGCGGCCGCGCAGCCGCAATCTTCTCTGCAGCTGCTTCTTCCGAATCAGTCTCATTACGGGATTTAGGCGACCTGAAGCAAGGATTGAGCTGGCAGGTGCAGGTGAGTTTTGGAAAGGGACACTGCCGCCGCAACACCGCCACCATCGCCGCCACCCCGCCCGGCGCCCTAAACAGTCTACACCTCTTATGTTGTAAATGAACAACTCTATAACAAAGTTTATGGAAGTTTTGGAGAAAAGGAAAAGGGCGTTATCTTTGTACACAGGATATTGTCTTTCAGGCGGAGAAAGCTTGGAAACGTTGGACGACCCCGCCCTGGAGCTATTCGCCAGTAGCAATAGTAGCAGCAGCAGTAGTTAGTAGCAGCCCATGGCGGCTGTAGTAGACTGCGGCGGTGGCGGCGACGACTGGGGTAGCCCAGCTCCCACTCTGTTGCTCTCACATTCTCACACATCTCTCAACCCTCCCTCCTCACGACGAGACCAAATTCCGACCTTGTGGCTGTGCAACACCTCCCGGCATCTCCATCTCCGCCTCCGCTTCCGCCGTCTCGACGACATGCCGAGAGGTGTAATAACTGCTACTGCAGCTGTTATGTCCCCTGGCGGCACCAGCCGCAACTTCGGATCGTAATCTGGATTCAGATTCCTTTATCGCGTCAAAGCCGGATCCGGACTGCAGCTCCGAGGCGCCAGGTGGGTGGTGCGGGTGCAGGTGCGGCAAGATAAGGCCCCCGAGCATTACGTCCGCGAAGTCATCCGCGGCCCATGGCTCAGCTGAGGACGCGGCCGAGGTTAAGGTAGATGACACGGACGAGGACGCCGCCCCCGATACACCTCCCGCTCTCGCTCCCGGGGCGGCGGCGGCGGCGGCCGAAAAGGAGGATGCGGAGCTAGCACCTGCAGCTTGGGTCTTGTTGGACGGTTGTTGCGGGCGATGGTGTAGCAGCAGCTCATGTTTTCTAATCATCCTGCATTAGAGACGAGGAGGCGGGTTGTGGAGGGGGCCCATGGAACAATGGAAGGAAAGATCAAACGGCGACAAGTCCAAAGCTGGAAAGCTGGAAGTTGCTGGCGGGCAGGGCGGACAGTTAGGGCCTCTGATGCAGCATGGCGTTGCCCAGTCATGAAAGAATAAAAAGACTAGGGGGGCGGCTTTTCAAAGCCGAAAAGGGGCGAGGCCCCGGTGCAGCCACTTGCAGCCCGTATGTACGGCATAAGACTGCAAGTCCGGGGCCGCCGCCGCCGGCGGGGACACGGGCGGCAAGGCGGCCGGCGGATGGGGGCTGCCGACATGGCCCGCTGCGGGGGCTGGCACCTCCGCCTGCGCAACGGCCCGACCTGGACCATGAAAAGCCATCTTTGTCGCGCTCCGATGCAGCTGCAAGTTCTCCTTTGGCAGGTTGACACAGTACAGATATAGCTTCTACATGCAATCTTTTGCAGAGCGACATATGTAGCTGTTTGTCAAACTCGCACCCCTGGAAAGCTATCTTCGCGCTCCGATTTATCTGCTATTTCTCCTTTGGCATTTCGTTATAGAATGCTTATAGCTTCCATATTAAACCTTTTGCGGAGCGTGATATGTAAATTTATGTTTAACCCGCAGCCATGGAAAGCCATCTTTGTCGCGCTCCGATTTATCTGGAATGTCTCCTTTGGCCGGTGAATGTAGAATGCATATAGCTTCTACATGCAATCTTTTGCGGAGCGAGATATGTAACTGTTTGTCAAACTCGCACCCCTGGAAAGCTATCTTCGCGCTCCGATTTATCTGCAATTTCTCCTTTGGCATTTCGTTATAGAATGCTTATAGCTTCCATATTAAACCTTTTGCGGAGCGTGATATGTAAATTTATGTTTACCTCGCAGCCATGGAAAGCCATCTTTGTCGCGCTCCGATTTATCTGGAATGTCTCCTTTGACATTTCAATATAGTATGGATATAGCATTCAAATGCTATTTTTTGCGGGGCGAGATATGTATGCCACTGACTGACTGACTGACTGACTGACTGACTGACTGACAGGGGTGAACCCCGGGGGCTCGGCCCCCCGAAGGCGCTTCGCGCCCGGGGCCTCGCCCAAAAAGAAGTAAAAAATCATTAATTTAGGCTTAAGATATTTAAGCGGCGTGAAGACCTCCAGAGCTAGTTTTAGAACTTCGTGCTTGACAAAACGAAGGCCATTTACTATTATGTTATTTATATTAATGTGAAGCGTTGGTCGGTTTCCGGGCATTACGCGGCCATCAGGCTGCCACACCGTCGTCTTGTGTTTTCACGATCCCATTAGTCGCCCACCCCGCTAGCGGCTCTCACCGATACACGGGGTTAAGAAGCGACAAGTCCGAGATGAGCGTCTCGCGCAAGAGATTGCTGACGCCGCTGCCGTACCCGTCGCTGCCGCCAGCGCCGCCGCCGCCAGCAACGGTATCGCCAGGCGATGACGGCGACGACGACGACGACGGTGGTCCAAGCAAAGTCACCTCAATCCGGCTGGTGTTCGGATCGACCCCCAAGCCAGCGCCGCCGCCGCCTGCCGTACGCTCGTCCCACGCACTCCCCCAGACGGCGCCGGCGCATCCGCCCAGCAGCGCCGTCGGCACCCTGTCAGCCGCCCATACGCCTTCACGCGCCGCTACCGGCGCCGCCGCTACCTGAGCACTATCTGAACGCACTCCGTAGCCAGCCGTCGGCGGGCGAGCATCCCGCGGACTCGTCTGGCAATTACCGTACTCACGACCACTGGCGCCGTCGCCAACCTCACCTCCCGTACTCCACTTCTGCTGCTGCTGCCGCTGGCGTATTCGGATCTGGCGGATGCGTACGACTCGGTCAACGGCAGTGTGGCCCGATGCGAACGGCGCCAACGGCAGCGGCGGTGGCGGCGGCGCCCGCATAAGGCCAGGGTTTCCTTCCCAGGGCGAGTCTTCGGCCCCTTTCCGCTGCCGCTTCTGATGCGGATCATCACAGTCCTGCTCTTGGTGGTGATGGTGGTCGTGGTGATGTTGACATTGACGTTGGTACGGCAGGTGGTGCTCCTGGAGCTGCAGCGGGGGCCCCGGCGGCGGCGGCGGCGGCATTGGCGGGCTGTGGCGGTGTACGTCACCTAGGCGAGGAGAGACGTCTCGACCACTCAAAGTGACGCGCGGGGTGGTGATGGAGGAGGAGGAGGAGGAGGAGGGCTGCAGCTGCTGCTGCCCCACGCGACCCGAGGGCCCTGCAGTACCATGGAGATCGACCCCGCTTCGATTGCCAATGCCGTCGCCGCTGGCAGCAGCAGCAGCAACAGCAGCAGCGGAGGCGGAGGCGCCCTTGTCAGGGTGCCGCTCGTAAAGGTGGTTGTGGTCGTCGTAATGGTGGTTATAATGGTGTTGGAGCTCCTTCTTGCGTATCAGTCTTAGAAACAGAAAGGGCGCCAGAAGGGCCCCCCGCCCCCGCCGGGAGGAAGTCGTCATAGGCAAGACAAGAAAAACAAAGGTCAAAAGAGCCTTAGTAACGCAATAAGGAAGAAGTAACTTACATCATGTGCAAAAAAGGCATCGCAAACGTAGAGCATCAGTACAGACGGCGAGATGGGGGGTTGGGGGGATGCGGACTTAAGCCAGACAGACACCATGCCGTACCATCGGACGAGCATATAAGTTATATATACAAATATACATCACCCCAGCGAATACTTAAGGCTTATGCAAAAAGAAAGCCGCCCTCACATAAATATACATCTCCACAGTCCTCTCCTGCACTTTCCTTCTAGCGCCTTAGTTCTCTAGTTCTTTACATCATCAGTTCATATCCTCTTCCTCATGGATTCTGAAGGGCACTGCCGTACACTCACCGGTACACGGAATTCATCTGCGGCTGGGCCCCCGCTAGGCCCCATCCCGACATAACGCTGCCTGGAGGGGGCCTTATGTCGCCCGGGGGAGCTGCTGGCGGCGGTGGCGACGGCGGAGAGGGACCGGGGCCTCTGCCGGGGTGCCATAGTGCCGACGGCGCCTGTGTTGCTGATGGCAGCGGCGGCGGCGACAGCGGCGACAAGGAGGAGGGCCATGGCCTGGCAGCGCCTCCGTCGCCATAGCTGCGGGCCCTGTTCTTCCCGCCGGGCAGGCGAGCACTTGACTTGTTGCCGCCATCGCTGCCGTCCCTGCCTCCGCCGCCGCTGCCGTACTGAGACCCCGATATGGATTCACGACAGCGCCTGACGCCGCCGCCAGGCTCCACAGCGTCGGCTGGCAGTGGTGTAGCGTTAGGGGTTGCAGTACTTTCCCGCCGCGGCGGAGGCGGAAACGGTGCTGAGGCCGTCTGGCGTCGAGCCCGGCCATCAAGATCCCTGGGGGAAGAACGTGATGGCTTGGGCTGGGTGTTACTCGTTGCCTGGGGGGACGTGGGCTGTGACCCAGATCGTACACGGTCGGTGCCGCAGGCCGTTTGCTGCTGTTGCGAAATTTCGGCCTTGTCATTTTTGGGACAGCTGTCGCTGGTAAGACCGCTGTTGGGGGTGTTCTTGCGCCGGCTGACGCGACGCCGGGACGAGGGCGTCAGCGGCGCGGTCGCAAGTAGAGGAGTCGTGCCTGAGGCCGCAGCAACAGAACTGTCGGCTGGATTGTCGACTTGCGGTGTCCTTCTTGCCGCGTGTGCCGCCACAGCGGGTCTGTGCGATGACCTGAAATGTTCCCAGCCAAAAGCAATACGTGTAAAGCTCCAGAAGGGCGAGTAGGCATAATGCGTCGCAGATGACTGAAACTTCTGGAAGGTGGATGGCGGCCCGTGCGCCAAGCTGAAAGCCTGAGTTGAGCCCATTATCTCCCCAGAGGTCCGAATCCGCTGACTTTAAGGACTAGATGGTACCTGGTTCGCATTGTTTGTTAAGATCGTTATTATGATAATAGAGTAAGCAAAGGCTTGCAAACTGCAACCTTGTTGCCGAGGATTTACTCTGCTGCGCAAGGTAACCACCTAGACAAAACACAGACGCTTATTGAAATTCTTTAAACTTGCTGTCTCATGTTACGTGTTTGAACGAAATCGTGTTTTTTCTCAGCTATGACCGTTAGAGAGTTAGTCAGCACCGGCTTACAGTTGGATGCCGAAGCCGCCCCCGCCAGACACTTACATGCTTCCACAACCAGGATAACCCTATGATCGCAGCAACTTGACTTCAGTTCTACATAATTGTGCAATTCTGACCTCACGCAATTCCTTCGGAACCCCATCGTTCCAAGACTCCAGTTGTTGTATCACGACTTCAGAAAAGTACCGATCGGTGGATGGAGAATCCCGTGATTATGCCCAGGATGCTACAATTATCCCCTTGCCAGCTGAGGGCGTCCTCGACCAAGTTCGTCTCAGCGGCGGCCACAGGTCGATACCGCACCAGGCCTAATTCGAACCTGATTCGACAGGGTTACCAGTCTTGATACCAATTGTAATTCCACAATTTTTTTTCCGGAAAGTACCCGGAGCCTTCCAAAACGCCAGGGCACTGATTCTACAATACAAGATTGATCTAAGAGCTTCGAGCGTCCCCGAAACCATGGCACCTCGGTTGCAATACTCTGACTTTATTACACCGTTACACGACATTAGCATGACACTGTACGACGTTCACACGGCGCCGTAGTCAGGTCCATAAAGCAGTTAACCAAACGAAGCAAGGCCGTCTGCTGCACCGCTACAGCGCTCTTGTCCGTCCAACTACATCCACGTACATGAGTTTGCGAGAGCCATGCCCAGGCCTGCGCGCCTGTGTAGCGTCTGTCTTATTTACATCAGCTCACGCGCCGCTGCTGCTGCTGCAGGCGCTCTCAAATCCAAAGAGCCTCCTGAAATCCGACACAGCACGCACGGCACATCGTTCCATCAGCCAGTTCTCTTCAAGTCGTCCTGTCACCTGCATGCTCAAACGGATTGACCCATGACCTGTCTGGGGCCTGGGAATGCCGTGAAGTTGAGCTGCTGATGAGGTTTTCACCATCATCACCTGCTACATCGTCCACCGGCCACCAACAGATGCCAACAACAAGAACAACCGGTTATTCAGAGCGCCAACAAATCGAAGTCGCGAGTTAACCAGCGCCAACTACTCACACACCAGTATGTAGTACCATAGCTCTCGGTGTTCACAGAGCATTAATTAGCCTCATGGACGCCATTAGCGATGTCGTACAGTATACATAAGTACAGGGAGGCACCCCCCCCCATGCATCATCATCATCATCATCATCATCATCATCATCATCATCATTATCATCATCATCATCATCATCATCATCATCATTCATCACGAAATTCTGCAAGCCAACCTGACGACGTGTTCGGCGCCGCAAAGCATATGTGCATGTGGATTCCCATGGGCCCTATGAACCGGGAATGAAAGTTCGTGTGGGCCGTACGACTTCCGAGCTCACAATATTTGTAAAATCCTTAGAAAGCCAGAGACCAGCCCATCATCATCATCATTATCATCATCATCGTCATCATCATGGGAAACCTTCGGTGGTGACGCGTGCACATGGACGAGGCAAAGCGGGATAGGTGCGCATGGGCCTTATTTCGGAACCCAACCGGCCGTTGGACGAACGTGGAGTGCTCAAACGGATGAGGGTCGTGTGTCTGTTGTTGGGGATGCGACGCCGCAGCGACAACACAAGGGTAGGATGCCTCCCACTGGGTAGCTCAGTGGGTAAAAACACACTGGTGGTGGTGGATGTCGGCAGCCCTTGCCTGCCGCTCGGCCGCCTGCAAGTCGATCGACCTTGCCAGCCTGCCAACCTGCCTTCTGGCCAGTCTGCCCACCCGACCTACCCAACCAATGATGACGAGCTACTTCCTTGCCTGCCTGCCTGCCCGCCTTTGGACAACACCCACGCACACCCACGTACACATATATTGCCGCGCGAGAGTGTGGGGCACAGCCGGACCCCCACCCAGCCTGCTGCCTCCAAGCTCCAGCCACCGGGCGCCTTGGAGCGAGACATGACCGGCTAACTAACGCCGGCTAAACCATCTAACTACCAACCGTCAACCATCAACAACATTAGTAAGGGTTCATTCTTAACAAATGGGTAATAACACGTGTGCGACACATATGGCCTGGGAACACATGCGGCATGAATGATTTTACATCCAGCCATGATAAAAACTTGCAAAAGCGGTGTGGGTCTTCTGAGTTGTCTTTCTCGGCATCATCGTCTTTGTCATTGTCCTGTTGGTATTAAACGTCTCCATGGGGCAGACAGAGCGCGTGACAAACAAATGCATATGCAAATGCAAAAGTAGCCGCTGGCCCACGACACACAGACACGCTGGCCAGTGTCAGGCCCGGTCAAATACTTGTAACGTTCACACACGCGCACACACACATACACATACACATACACACACACACACACACACACACACACACACACAGAGCAGAGACATGCGGAAAAGTGGGTCGGATGACGGAATGCAGAGGACCTGTACATAAGAGCAAACAAACCCAGACACGAAGGGATGCCGTCCGCTGTTTCTGCTACGCAACTGCGCGTGCTGCTCTGTACGGCAGTGTACGACAAGCACCCATGGCGCGGCTGGCAACAACCCACCTTTCCCCCCGTTCCAGCGGACGACATACATACATACATACATACATACATACATACATACATACATACATACATACATACATACATACATACATACATACATACATACATACATACATACATACATACATACATACATACATACATACATACATACATACATACATACATACATACATACATACATACATACATACATACATACATACATACATACATACATACATACATACATACATACATACATACATACATACATACATACATACATACATACATACATACATACATACATACATACATACGGAAAGCGATTTATCACCACAAGCACGAAGACAGTCCTCAAGATGTGCAGCATTTCAGCAACATCCCCACCTCTTTTCCCCCTGTAATAACGGCATGAATCAGTATTAGTGATAAGAGCAGTACTTTTAAACAGGTTTCGCGCACGCATGCGCAGCCCAAGCGCCCACCAAATGATAAGCTCCATGGCATGCACACACACACACACATCCGCCGGTAACCCCCCCCGTGAAATAGGTCGGGGTGTCGAATGCTGAGATGAGACACTGGGTTCCTCCAGTGTGCGCTGGGCGGCTGGGGAGGGGGAGCCCATCATGAAGATCTATACACTTTGTCGCAGAGCAGTGGCGGAGTAATAATCCTGCAAAGGGCCTGGACCAGGCTGTACACCAGATGGTAGTTGGATAACGAAACCGGGCGGCGGCAGGATTCGCAAGGATAGGGTGGCGCTATTGGCACCGGTGGCTGTGCCGAGGTAGTTCGCGCAGCTGTAGAGCATGCGATCGGTGGAATGAGGGATGCTAGACACCTGCGTTAGCGAAAGTTGCTAACGAGAGGATTCGAACACGTGACGGCCTTGCGATGATGCGGGATGCTGGTTAGGACTTGACACTAATTGTTGGAACGCCCCTCCGAATATGGAATGCTTCGGCGGTCTCACCCATGGGGGGCGGGTAGCGTCCCCCGGCCTTAGAGGTGTAGTAAGATATGTAACAATCACACACACGCATGTACACACGCACGCTCAAACACACACATACAGACACACCATGCAAGATGTGAATGTACGGCCGCTCTACCGTCCATATATACCGACCAACCAACCCCTGGACTATCACCCAACCATATCGACATGGGCCGCTAAAGGGCAGCCGGTGAAAAGGCCTCTCAGTATGACAGCAGTGATACGCCCGCCCCTACTTCTCAACTCAGCGAAAAGCCTACAGACCCCCAAGAACGTTTGAGAAGCTGCGTTTTGATCGTCGTGAGACAGTCCTCAGTTTTACCCCACGTTTGTGTCATCTTCTCCTATCCGCTATACGAGTCACAACCTGTGGGCTGTCTGTCACACCCCACCCCACCCCACCCCACCTCACCTCACCCCACCTCGCCCCTCCTCCGCTCTTTTCCCCCCCAGAGTTCCACGCGCACATGGAGCAACGGATTGCGGAATGGATCCTGCATAGACCTAGATATGCAGATTTAACCCAAATACACGATCCAGTAACCAATTCGGATACTGGAGATTCAAATGCCGACCTAATCAGCTATACGAAAACAGCAGCAGCAGCAACATCTTCGGCGGGCCCAAACAGAACGAGCCTGCCTCTTGCGACCCCCCCAGCCCTCAGCCCGCCGCGGGTTTCTACACCAACTCCGCAGCTGCGGATCCCCTCGAGTACGTCAGTGTTGTCGTACCCCCCGCGAGCCACGCCAACCCTTAGCCAGCCCACCCAGCCCAGCCCAGCCCAGCCCACACATTCCGCGGAAGAAAGGAAGGAAGAAGGCACCTACAACCCTAATGCACCTACCACCGATCAGGAAGCCGATAATCTCGAAAGTACGGCGATACAGGAACACGTACACACACACACATATACACACACCAATGCGCGACCAGTGTTTTGTAAAAACGCTGTCATGTCACGGACGCATTTCGGTTGGGTGTTTGGGCGTGTGTTTGTTACTTCCTCTTTAAAAAGCGCAAGAAGGTGGAAGAGGAGGAGGAGTTAGAGGATGCCGGCAGCCAGGCAAACTAAAAGCCTGAGTCTCGGAGGCGCCGTGCGGCGGCGGCAGCGCCGCCGCCACCCATTCCCGCCAGGCCCGCCGCCAAATCCGCCAAGCCGGACGACAGACCCATGTTCGCACGGTGATAGAAGCTCCTGCCGGCGCCGCCGGCGCCACCCGCTCCGAAACCATCCCCGAAACCCAGGCCAAGCGCGACATCCGTACAATGCAAAGGCGTCCCATCGACCCCGACACCGGCGGCGGCCGTACAGCCGTCACGGTTAGGCTCGCCGCTGCAGTCAGCCTTGAAGAAGGTATCGTACGGGCCGCTAGCTATGGCTTGCTGTTGATGACGACGACTAGGCAAACAAGCGCCTGTTGGAGTGAGCGGTAGTGGCGCCGAGCCGAATCCTCCCGAAGGCGACGCGCCCGACTGCCACATCAGCGGGTTCAGTGCTGACGTGTTCACGCTCAACGCCGCCGCTACCGCCGCTGCCGCCGCAGCATTGCCACGTGGCCGCGCCGCCGCACCGCGCATCAGCTGCGCCTGCGCCGCTAATGCACGACTGCTTGAGTCGTACTTGCCGTACATGCCAGCGGCGTCCGCCTGGTCCCATCCGTCGCCGCTATTGAGGCCGAACACAAGGCCTCCAAAGGCATAGCCATTGCCGCTAATGCGTGGCTGCGGCGAGACGCGTGTGGTGCTCTTGCTTGATCTGGCGACGATGGACCTGGGTCGACTGCCGCTGCTACAGCCGCCGCCGCTGCTGGAGTTAATCCCAACGTACGACTCCAACGACTTGCTGACACCGCCGCCGTCACCGCCGTCGGTAAGATAGCCGCCGCTGCTGCCCGTAAGCGCGCCACCACCGCCGCTGCCACCACCGCCGCCGTTACGCCAAGCAGACGCGATCCGAACCCGACGCCGCCGCCGGTTACGGCTTTTTCCACCGGTGCCGCCGCCGCCGCCGATGCCATCCCACTTATCGTCCTCGTCGCCGCCGCATGCCTCCAAGTCCGCATGGCTGAGGTCTGCAGTCGGACCGGCCGCCACTGGCTGTGAAGGCTTGGCTGGCTGCCTCTCCCGCTGCTGCAGTGGCTGTTCCTGTTGCTGCTGCGGTGGCGGCGGCGGGTGTGCCTTCGTGGTGGTAGTTGTGGTGGTTGTGGTCGTTGCTTTTTGGCGGAAACGGCGGTGATGCGCTCCTCCACCCGGCAACTGCTCGCCCTGCCCGCCCACCTCCTCCTCCTCCTCCTCTTCCGCCTCCTCCTGCTTCTGCACCTGCACCTGCTGCTGTTCTTGGAAGTGATGGAGAGGTTGATCGGGATCGGGATCTTGGGCGTATGCCTTCGAACTGCGCTGGAATGCCTCTGTTAGGGTCATTCTGCTGGTGGTACGGCTCTGCTGCTGCTGTTCCTGTACAACACGGCCGCTGCCAGTACCACTGCCGTGCAGACGCCGCTGACTCGTAACCGTTGAACTTTGTTGGTGCTGTTCATGATGACGGGTTGCAGTTGTTGTTGTCGTTGTGGTGGTGATGGTGGGCAGCGTGCGGCTGTCAGCCTGTTGCTGTTGTTGATCCTCATGCTGCTGCTGCTGAAGTTGCGATGCTGACGTTTGTGGGCGGCTATACGTGCCGCGGCCCCAGCTAGGGCTGTAGCCACCGGCTCCTCCTCCGGCCCCGCCGCCGCCGCCGCTGCCAGCTTCACTACCGCCGCCGCCGCCGCGGCGGGTGTTTCGACTCGCCATCCGCGGGCTGCAGCCATCGCCTCCACCGCCAACGCCGCAGCTACTCCCTCCGGCTGCAGCGGCGGTCTGAAATCGTGCCGCCTCCGCTTCCGCCGCCGCTGCCGCCAGGTTGGCCTCAAACACGGGCGCCGCAGGGACAGCCGCAGAGGAGGCGGAGGCGATGGATCGTTCCCCCGGCGTCATCGGTGGCGGCGCGATGACGACGTGCAAGCCGGCGGCAGCGGCAGCGGCCGAGGCGCCACCGCCGCCGCCACTATCCGCATCCCCAAGGAAGCGTTCCAGGATATCTGCCCGCGATCCGAGGCCCTGGCGCGACGTCTTGCCGTACTGCATCCTGGCCAGGTCAGCCTCCTTCAGCGAGTTGCCGTCGCGGGTGCGGAAAGATTGCGACGGTGTCGACCTACCCCCCGTAACCGCCGCAATCGCTCGATGTGGTTGAGCCGTCGTCGTATGGGACGCATTTGCATCAGCGCCGCCGCCGGCGCCAACTGCTGCCGCGACGGCAGGCGTGGTGGTGTAGTAGTTGGGAACCCTCGCACGGCCAGAAAGCGCACCTAGCCTGGGAAAGCCGTCGTTTCCCGCCCCTCCGTACAACTCCTCCTCAGCAGCCGCCACCAACGCGTCTCTCGCCGGCGTCCCCGCCGCCGCCGCCGCTGCCATTGCCAACGCCATCGCCTTGATGTCGGCGGGGTTGCCAGCCGCACCACGCGGCGCGGAGAGCTTCAGCTCACAGGCCGTCTTAACCTTCAAGGAGGTGCGTGTGGACGCGAACCGCGATACGGCGGCGCTGTAGGGTCCAACCTCCTCCCGCCGCTCCTCCTCGTGTTTCTCCTGTCGCTCAAAGGCCTGGCGGCGCCGCTCCTCCACGACCACCTGTCCCCGGGAAGACGACCTCACCACGCGACTGTAGTCCTCTTGCTCTTCCTGCCGATGATCCTCTCGCCGTGTCGTCTGAGTGATGGTCTCTAGGCCGCCGCCGGAGCCGCCGCCGCCGGCGTCGTCAGCGCTGGCGGCTGCGACAACACGTCGCTGCAAGGACGTCTCTTCGGTGCGCTGGTGCTGTTGGAGATGGCTGTGCGATTCCTCCCTTTGCTCAAGGGTCCTTGGGGAGGGTTGCGGGACGGGACAAGGGTGAATCGGGGTAACCGCACGGGTAAAACACACACACACACACACACACACACACACACACACGCGGGCCACATGCGCCGTTACCCTAGACACTTCCTCTCCTGAGGGCCCTCAAATGTTTGGGGCGCGCCTGCGGCCCCTGACACGGGGGCATGCGGCCTGAACGACCCAAGACATCTATTACATATCTTCGCACTTTACATGATGCGTCTTTCACTGCCTTTCCCCTCTTAAGGTATTCTGCTGTGAAAATCGCAATCGGTGCAGCCCCATGACCACGTAAGCGTAATTCGTAGTCATCCCCCCCCCCGTGCTTGTGACAAGACTAATCTACCTTCCACACACACTATATCTATATCTATATCTATATCTATATCTATATCTATATCTATATCTATATCTATATCTATATCTATATCTATATCTATATCTATATCTATATCTATATCTATATCTATGTCTATATTATATATTATTATATATATTTATTTTTATATAAATAAATAAATAAAATATAACAAATATATTATATATTATATTATATATTTTATATATTATATGTATATATACATAGAGATCCATACTTAATACATACATACGTACACACATGCACACAGTGGACACACGCACACACACATTATAAGAAATGGAATTACCTTCGGCGGCTCTCCCGATCTCCACCGCGACCACCAGCACCGGGTTGCGGATGCCCTGGCCAGCCTCCGTCCATATCGTCGAGGGCGCCGGGACTGTCGGTGTCGGTGGCCTTTCGGACGCCACTACCACCGACTGCTGCCGGCTGCCCGTCCTCCTGGGTCCCCTTAGCGCCATCGCCTTCCTCCTCACTCTCCTCCTCCACCACCACCACCTTCAAACATCACCCAGCACGCAAGCATAGAGCAGCTCACAAGTGCGCGATAACGCAAACCGCAAAGTTAAGTTGCTCCCGAGTGACGTCCCCTTAAAACTGCCTTCTCGCGACTCAGGTGGCTCAGTTCATAAAAAGACACACATACACACACAGAGACGCACATACACGCACACACGCACACACACACACACACACACGCGCACACACACACACACACACACACACACACACACACACACACACAAAATGCGCACGCATAAATGCCAAACACGGCAACCTGGCAATCCATCTCCTCCTATTCCTAGTCCCCTCTTCCGTCTTTACCAGGGATATCCGTGCACAACACCTCACCTCACGCAACGCTTTGCGACTGCTTTGTTCCTGTACGGATGACGTACGAACCGTCTCCGTACATGCGTTGCCGTCAGCGCCGCGCAAGATAGTTTTTGAAGAGTGGGTTGTCAATGAGGACGAGGAGGATACGCTTGTGGTCTTGGTCCTGGTGGTGGTGGTAGTGGTCGGGCCGCTGTTGACTGCTTCCGCCGTCGTGGTGGCAGCGCCAGCAGCTCTGGGTGGCCTGCTGCCTCCGGAGATATCATACGTAGTACTGATACCGTGACCCGCTACCTCTCCTCGGCCGCCGCCGCCGCCGCCGCCAGCATTTCCTGCTGCGTCTCCAAGACGGCAACGGCTGGGGACTGCCATAGGATGGTTCATCGGTACATCGTTGTTGCGCCCAAGAGACGGCGAAAACGAACGCCGACCGCTATTACAGCTGCCATCGTTGTTGCAGCTACTGCCACTGCCAGTACTCCCAGCGCCGCCGCAGCCGCTGCCGTCGCCTCCCATGCTCAACGTGACCCCGGGGGTAGATCTGCTGGCAGCTACTGCCGCCGACGCCACGGGCGACGCTACATCGTCAGCACTGAAAAAAGAAGGAAACACCAGGTGCGGGCGACTGCCGCCGAAGCCGCCGCCCATGCTCCTCGGTGCAGGCCGCGGCTGCGGCGGCGCGGCATCCTCCGCAGCAGCGACCCGCGGGTCAGTTGTGGTTGCACGCTGTCCATTGCTAAAGCTCTGCAGTACGATGCGAGGATCCAGAACCTCCACGGCTGTGTGGCCTCCTGCGAGGTTAAGGGCGGCAAGGCGTGAGTGGCGGCAAATGCAGAGTGATTTGCGATTTTGCGGGCGTTATGACGTTATAACACTACACTTTCCACCCTACCCTGCTGGGGTACTCCCTTGCGGTCTGGGGCCTCGCTGAAGAACCTTCTACTATTATTATTTATTATTATTGTTATTATTTATTTATTTGTTATTATTATTATATTTATTATTATTACTACTTTCCAAACATGCAGGAAAGCCAATGATGCGGCCTTTGCAGATTTAGCAGCAAGGAAAATCTCTTAAGCTGGTTTGGGTCCGGATCCCCCCGACTGGAGTGGATTTGCCGGTCGGTCGGTCGGTCTTCCGGTCGGTCGGTCGGTCGGTCGGCCTCTTGAGTTGTTCGCTCCCCTGGCTCGCTCCGTCTCTCTGTCCGTTGTCGGCGAAGCAGCATCGAACTGGCAGCGTCTCTCTATCTTAGGCGAAGCAGCATCGAACTGGCAGCGTCTCTCTATCTTATCACCGCCAAAACATTATGATGGTTTATTTATACCTATAGTGAATCCCTGCGGGCCTAGGCAATCGTAATTGTAAAAAAGGATTTGCGATGTAGAAGGTTCAACGCAACCTTTTGGCGTCCATCTTAAACAAATAGGTTGCATTGCTTGACCGCATATAATTCATTTATTTCATATAATCCTAATAATTCTCAGGTTAAATGCTAATCTCAATCCAGTTTGGGAATCGACGTTCTTGCCAAATTTGACTTTGCGGACCGACTTTGCCCGGCAAACGGTCCAATTCATCAGACAGCTCCATCACGTACATACTGCATGATAAATAAGTATTTTATGCACATGCATATATGCACCGCCACACGTACTTCGTCTTGGCGGGCCACGGGTTACGTGACGTACTGCCCCACCTGACGGCTTGGTGCTCGCCTTGCCGTATTCGATGTCGTACGCACGCTGCCGCTGAGCTAAATCCAGGGGCGCTGACATGAGGTTCGCAAGACGGGTAACGGGCTGCTGCTGCTGCTGTTGCTGCTGCTGCTGCACATGTTGGCCCCCCTGCCGCTGCTGTGATCGTGGCGAGCCCGGCATGGAGCAGCTCATGCTGAGATTCCCCACTTCGCCCCGGCAGTCCTCCACGGCATCCAGGTGCGGACGACCGCCACTGCTGCTGCCGCAGGTAACCGACGGCGGGGCCCCTTCAGTAATCCACGTCTGCGCTCGCAACAAGCTTGGCGCCGGCGCCGGCACCTGAGGATAGCACAGTTTTTGTTTCAACGGTTTGGTTGCGCGGATGTGCGCTATGTATGAAGCCGGGTTAGGAACGGGCTAAGGACGGGCAAAGAACGGCCTAATATGCGCGCGCCATCGGTGATGATGGGCTGGGCAGGTTGCGGAGCGTACCTGTGAGGGCCGTGGGGAAACCGCCGGGCTGGCCTGCCTGGAGGTCGCATTCGTTAGGGGTTCGGCCACCGCTGCAGCCGCAGCCGCTGCTGCTGCTGCTGTTGGTTGGCTTTGAGCCTGGGTCTGGGATGCGGGATGCGGGATGAAGGGAGGGGCAGCCCACACACGTGAAGGCACGAGCGTGGTGAGGGCAGGTGATAGGCGCGTGGTGAAGAGTCCGACTTCATCACGTGGGGGTGAGTGGTATACGGCATGTTCCCGGAGCGTGGCCGATGTGGAGGGTCCTACTGAGCTTGTCAAAAGAAGTTCTCTCGTAACGGCGGCTGCGGCTGCGGTGCTGCAGCGGCGGCTCCTCTCCTTGCGGCGGCGGCGTGTTAGGGCGCTGCGGCGGTTTGCTCCCTTGACTAAACAACTTAACAACTAAACGGTTTAGACTTCGAATTCAGGGAGTGCCCATTTGAATGCCCTTGATGATGCTGGTATAGCGAATGGGTTTAGCTGCGGAGCGGCGGAAGGGGCTTACCAGCTGCAGAGCCTCCTCCGCGGCCACCCGCTTGCGGCTGTTGGCGCGGGGGCTTGCAGCAGCAGTTGCTGTCGTAGCGGTTGTGGCAGTGGTGGATGTGGTTCTAGGGGTTGTCGTTGGGGTCGTCGTTGCGGACGCAGGCTGTTGTTTGTCCTTCCCACGCACCAGGTTTTTAAACCAACCGAAAATGCCGGGCCCAGGCGCGTCTGGAGAGTCGCCCTTTGCCTGGCCCTGAGTAAGAAGTTGCGGACCCGCATTTAGGGCGTTTGTCAGAAAACGGCACAACGCAGATGAGCAGGCCTGGTCGTCATAATCTGAATTAGTGCTCTTACCATATTAATGGCTGATTAGCACGAAACGGACTGTGCAGTTGAAGTACCAGTAATTGCCTTCCCCTGGGGTTCACCCGAGAGCTTTGTACAAGTGATGGATTAAGTCCAACTACTCGCATAATAATGAAAATTTCTGTGCTGAAGGATTCTGCGCAATGCCTGAAAACTTCATCTCTGCATTAGGTATCTTTGCTTGCGGTCCGGGCATGTATTGCAAGGGCGCTGGACAGGATAGTTGCACTTATCTATTTATAATCCAATATAATGAATATTATTTATCTATGCAAACTAAAATGAGATGTAATGGGGAGCAACAATCTGAAGTACAACGCTAGCCGACGCTAGGTGTTAAAGGCTTTCCAGCAAAGCATTATACAGTACGCGATCATGCAGAGTTCTTGCTAAGTTTCCCGGGGCCTACAAAATCACTCATCTTAGTGTTTGCCACAACTCGGTACGGGAACATCTTTGTCACGCAGTGTCAGCCCGACAACATTTCGAAGGTTTGCATGATTAGCCATGATTACTAAGGGTTGATATTTAATTGTTTTATTACATTTCAAAGTCTCAATGATCATGCTCGCAGGATATTGAAGGCAGCTGAAAGGTGACGCCGTAACGTTAGAAACGGAGGGAGCGGAAACGGAATGCGTGCAAAGATGTTAATACTTCCTTGTGATTCTAATAAAATAAGCATTTATATCTTGCAACAAAGCTCTTGATGCTCCTTTCCGTGTTGCTTGGCGTTTGCTTTGCAGTTGCTGGTGTCCCATTAACGATTGGCGATGCCACTCGATGCCTTAGCCAGCCACGCTTCTTCACTTGCTGTAATCACGAGCCCCATCTACCTGCTTGCTTAGATTTATTCATACTACTGAGTGCTCAGTACCAGGACCTGATGATGTCCTTGCCCTGCAGCTCTTCGCGCCGTGTGCGCTGTTCATGTCGCAGGACGCTGCACTGAACGGCTGCCTACAAGCACCCTTGAACCTATGTCGTGGGTGATGTTGTACAAGCACTAGTAATAGGTAATGAGACATCAGCACATCTGTACACAGCTCCCTCAGTGGTTTGGACGTTAAAGTGCGACATTCTACCTACTAGAACGATGGATGTTTGCTGAAAAAAGCTTAATTGGGCATATGATATGTGCCGCGCTTGATCATTAATTTTATCGCGTCGAGAACCAGCGCCCTACGCTGTCGCATTTAAGCTTGCTTGGCTTTTCGCAGGCGCTCCAACTCAAGCGGAATGTTTATGCTTTTATGAAGTCACACCTTAATTTATCATGCAAACAATCTGATCACGATATTGATGAGGAACAGGGGGACGGTGCAGGGGAACAGAGCAGGGGGACCTGGGGGGACGGTGGCCAGGGCACCAAAACATACCGCGGTA